GTCGTGTAGAGCAACAACTAAGCAGGGCCCTTCAGCTCTGGTGGGGCCCTCCGGCTTCCAGCTCCAGGCTTCCCGGGGTCAGCGCCGGCACAGCAGCCGCAACGGCACAGCAAGTCCTGAGAGGCTCAGGGGAGTTTGGCAACGCCAGAAAACTGCAGCAGAAAAGCCGTTATTGCTCAGAAAAGCCCCATATACCGAGGGACTGACGCTTCAGTGCTTTCCCAAAATGCAAACCAAGAGCTGAGCTGCCCCGGAGAGTCTCACAGGGGCCAGCCAGCGGCACCGAGAGCTTTCTCACCAGCTATGCTACACAGCCCCGTTGTTGCAAGGCAAGGGTGCAGCGTGTGGGTGTTAGTGTCTTGCTCAAATGGTCTTGAACAGGAAAGATATGTAGACCTAGGGAGATGTGGCAGCTGCTTGCTGGTTTTTACAGTGCTGAGAGGGAGAAGGAGTGCCTCAAGTACTACCAGAGATTTGACAGCAGTGCTGTCAGGCAAGAGAAGAAAGCGCAGCACAAGGAACCACAGAGGAATTGGGGTTTCACATCATTTCTACATCTAAAGCTGCTGCATTCCAAAAAGAGGATTAATAAACCATATTTTAATACCCAAGGCAGTTGCTAGCTGAATTCACAGCCCAGGAAGAGGACAGGGGATGGAGGGCAGGAACGGAAAGCCTGGAGGTGGCAGGAGAGCTCTGAAACAACGACACGTTACTGTACAGCACGTACAGATCACGGAGAGCTGTGACTCCGGAGAGCCTGCAAATAAACCAGGCAGCGGGCAAGCCGTCAGAAGGGAGGATTACCTCCAAATGACAGGCAGCAAAGCGAAAGCTAAGGCAGGTTCCAGTTCAAGACAAGCCCCCAGCTGCAGCCGCTCCTTCCCAGAACGCCTGGCACTGCACGTCTGTTCCTCTGCATTTGTATGCCACCGACTACCCTCGCTTCCCGCGGCCTCCGGCCATTACTCACTCCATTGACAACAGAAGTCTCCTCTCTGGACTGAAACTCATTTTTCTCCCGTCTGAAGCTGTGGCTGTTGTAACGCACGGCTGGGAAGGCACGGGGACCGGTGCAGCTGTGGCGGGGGGGCCAAAGGCCCTGCGGAGGAGCCCCGGGTGCACCTTCCCCCGTCCCCCCGCAGAGCAGAGCCCAAAGGAAGAGCTCTTCCCTCCCCCTGGGACCGCCTGCCTCAGCCCAGCGGCTCATTCACGCAGAGGCACAACGTACCTTCCCCATTTCCAAGGACCACGGGGACCAGCAAACAACTTCACTTTCCATGATCTCCAGAATGGGGCCACCTCCAGTTCCCCACTAGAGTGTCTCCTCCCCTGGGGAGGGTCCGACAGGTTGATCTCCCTCTCTCTGCAATGCCAAACCCAACGGGCTCCCCCCCTCCCCACACCTGCCCTGCTCACTGCCCTACCGCTGTCCACATCTGCGCAGACAAAAGACTTGGAGCAAAAGCCAAGTTCTCCGTGTCGACAATCCCGGTTCTTTGCCTACTTGCACAGAAAGCCCTTGCAGCATCTCTCAGGGGCAGGGAAAATCCCGACCCCAGGAATGTCGCTTCAGAGGAGTAATTACCTCCATAAATCTTTCAGGTGGGAGAATTATTCATGCTCTTCTAAGGCAGGGAGACTGCGGCAGAGCTGGCTGCTACCTTGGAGGAAAGCTGTCCGGTGCCTTCCTCCCCCTTGAGGATGAAGGGGAAAGGCACCTCTCCCACCTGCTGCCAACTAGCCCAAGCTGCAGAGATGGATTTTTGTTTCTGGGGAAATTCTTGGCCTGTGATGACAAACCAGGTCGTCCTTGCAGCCAGACACTGGATTCAGGCTCAACACCCTGCCCTGGGGCATCCAGGCACCCTGTGCCTCTCTGGGAGGGGCTGATCCCAGCCGGGCGAGCTGCACATCGCAGCCGAGGGGCGTTCTGGCTTCCCAGCATCTCCCAGGTCTCGCACGACTCGGGGGTTCCCCCTGCTCCCCATCAGCGAGGGGGTGTTAGCCCAGAGAAAAGCGCTACGGGAAGGGACACCTGAGCTGCACTTGGATAAAAACTGACAGCAGAAACAGCTGGTGACTTTCAAACCATCTTCTCACAGACTGAGTCACAAATTTTGAATGTGAAAAGTACTGCTTGCAGCTCCCTGACTTAATTCTGGAGATGTGTGGGGGTTTCTGATGTGCTTTGTCACCCATTGCAGAAGGAAGGGAGATTTAGGAAGAAGGTTTTGCTCCCTTGGAAATACTCTGCCCTTGAAAAGATACCGCAGGAAACCAAAGCATCCTTTTTTGAGAAAAGATGGTGCTGCCAAAACCTCTAACAGATCCCAGACCAAGCATTCCTGAGTGCCTCCAATGTCAGAGGAAAAGCTGGTACAGAAATATGAAGTCGTTCAGCGCAGAGCTGCACTTCTTTTTCCAAAGACCAATCTTTGTGCTTCAAATACCATGAAGGAATTGGTACTAGCAACCTGCACAGGAGAAGACCACGGTCCAATACCCAGCCCCTGCATTACCTGGTCTTCTACAGAAGCACAGAAACTTTACACGGTCCAGTGCCTGACCCGAGGATTGCTGCATTCATGCGGTGTGTCAGTAGGGCTGCGGACTGACAGGTTTGATTATGAGTTTAGAAACCAGCGTCTGCAGGGAAGGGCCCTGAGCAGGGGACTGAGCCGCACTGGGGACTGGAAAGAAAAACATCCACTCCTTCATCAGCTACAAAAATAAACCAGCTCATCAGAATAACAACGTCGCCTAACTTCAACTCTTCAGTTGGTTTCCTATTTTAATGGTTTCAAGCCATTTTGCCTGGGGTTCTTCACCAGTTGCTATTTTTAATTTCCAGAGTTAAATGGAAAAACAAGTATGGCAAGGAACAAGAACAACCAAGAAGAGGGTTTTGTACAGCCCCAGTCCTGTAATTACATCTCTACGGCTCAATCACCGCTGAATGAGTCCCGGCCAGCTCAGCTGAGCTCCCGCCGGCACCGACGGACCAGCCCTGCCTCCTCTCACCTGCAGAACCCGCCGCAGGCACCCACGAAATCACACACGTATACACAGACGCGTATCAACCAGGACGGCAGGCAGCGTAGCTTCACTGGTGGCAGCTGAGCCGAAGGCCCGACGGCCCTGGAGCCTTAACGCGGAGCGTGCTGACAGGGGCAGAACCCCCCGCTGACTGCAGCGGACGTCAGTGAGGGCGCCGCGGCCGTCTCGAACGCCCAGCCTGCTCTTCCCATCCAGGCAGTACTCACGCTGTTCACAAGGAAGATTATTTTGAAACAACTACGATAAAATGGCCTCTCCAGCTATCTCTGTCCTAATCCGGATCTGCTACGAAATGCAGAGATTCTAGAGGAACATCAGTTTCTCTGACTCCTAAATATTTGCATTTTAAAAAAAAGCATTGCTAAACCCACAGTAGCTCCATGCAGACAAGCGCTGTGGTATTTTCTGCTTCTCCAAGTCCAACAGAGAGAATTAATGTTTTCCCATCCACCTCCCAGAACTGCACTGACTGCAATTTTAAAAAGCACCAATTATTGACAGTCACAGCGTGTGTTGGCAAACAACTGCCTGTCCCAGGATGAAATGGAAATGAAATCCATTAAATTACCAAAGAAAGGGAAAAACACTGCAGACAAGGAACGGATCTGATGCCATCAGACCCGCCTCAGGTGCTGTCCTGGCAGGACAACTACCCGGGCCGCCAAGGGAATCTTGCTTTGCTTTCTGATGTTGATGTTGGGACCACGCTGGCCCTCAGTCAGGTGGGCACGTGGAAGGCTGCCCTCGGTGAGAGCCTGAGGGAGAGACCCAGTGCTGGGGGTAGGCCCACCGCAGGCCCGGCCTTCAGGTGGACTCACCAGATGCACGGGGATGTTCTGTTGCTGCTTATCATACCAAAGAAGGAAAGAGAAGGTAACTCTGCGTGACTTCTTGTGACACCGGTAAAAGGACAACCCCCTGCCATTAACGGTTCCTCGATGAAACAAAGGAGGAAACAGCAACGCTATCGCAGGGCCAGGAGGAATGGAAAACTCCATCGCAGCAAAGGATGGACGCTGCGTGCAGTGGGATGAAAAAGACATCTCGGCTCATGTACCAGCCAAGAGCAAGTCACTCACCTGAGCAAACGCTGGGCTACCGACGGGTGAGCAGTGAGCCGGCCGCCGTACAGCTCCGAGGAAGCCCACTGCATGATGGCCTCGTGCATCCGGTACTGCACCGTCAGCATCTTCACAGTCTTCTCCCCGTACCTCTCGACGAGACGCTCCATCAAGCTGAGTGCAAGGCCCTTGGCAGCAGCCCTGCGTGGGAAGAGCGAGTCAGAAGCGGAGCCTGGGTGTTCCGAAGGGACGAGCTACGGCCCAGCCGCGCCCCTCCGCGGCCCAAAGGCCCGGCCAGCGCCTCGCTGCAGGTGCATACCTACTCTGGGCCTGCTGAGCCCCCTCTGGGCCTGCTGAGCCCCCAGCTTTGCTGGGACGGCGTCGCCTCCCTCGCTTCCCTACTCCGTGTCGCTTGGGGACCAGCAGGCGGTGGAACGGGAGCAGGAGAAGGCTGCAGGGTCCCAAGCGCTACCTTTCAGCGTAGGCTCCCCAACAGGGTGAAGACCCCCAGGGACAGGCTTCTGCCTTGCACGGAGAGCGGGTCAGCTTGAACACGTCAGGGTGGAGAGGCGCCTGCTTCCCTGTCCCGCGGGGAAACGCCACTGTACTGCAAGAGATACCGCTGGTACCGGCTCCCCCTGCCGGCGGCAGGCACTTCTCCCACCCAGATCTGCTCAGTGCGGCTGGAAGAAGATGAGCGAGGATGCCCAAGGTGTCTACTTGGGGAAACCGCTCCAGAACAAAAGCCTCTCACCCTGTAAGCTCATCCCACCAACACCCTCAGTCACACCGCTCACGACCAGCTCCAGACACTGCGTCTGTCAGCGCAACGTTACACTCGCGTTACCGCAAGCTCAGCAACGGCGCTGGAATCACCCCATGCGTTAGCAGCAGAGCTCGACCCCACGTCTTGAAACACCTGATGTCAACACAGCCAGACCTCGCTAATGCTTCATCCAGACGCTCGCCGCTCAGGCGTTCTCACTGCTCCTTGGCCGCTCACCCCAGACGAACGTTTTAATGCGTTTCAGCGCTTATTGCTTTATTGCCCATTAAGAAAACCAACACTCCATCACTGCTGGCAAAGGTCCTGTGCTTATATCTGTGACATAAATTAATAAAGCTCCTAATGAAATAAGCCTTTCAGGAGCCTAATTGCTTTCTCTTCGCCGTGCAGAGAGGGTTTGTTAGGACCACTGCCTAGCGGTACCGTCTGGGGCGAAGGACAAGAGTCGTTGTGCTTCGATTTTGTGTTTGGAGCATTTCAGAGCATAAAGAGCTTTTTCACGCTGTGCATCCAGCGCCTGGTACAGTACTGTGGTTCATGGCGAGGGGTTCTGGTCGCTCCCAGAACACAATGAACAAGCGCAGGGATGATGAAATGACGATAGAGAACAGTTTGGGAAAATTATTTCCATCAAGGCCAAGGGGCACAGCACGCATCCAATTACTGCCGTGGGAAGCCTTGCATTACTACGTGGCACCACAGCGAGCGTCTTGTTCAGTGTACTGCCCAGCCCCGTCGTGTTAACAACACTGCACTCGGTAAACACAACAAGAGGCTGCAAATTCATTAAAACTGCAGAAAAGAAAATTGAGGGTAGATCTTTCTGCGAAGTCGAGTCTCATTAGCCCTCCTTGCTGAAGCACAGAATGCAGCCCACGGGGCAAAACCAGGTCACAAACTCTGGATGGCCACAACTGCAGGAGACGGCGCTGCTTTTCCAAAGGCTGCCGTGACACCAACGAGCTCAAACACCACGGAGAGGCGCAGAAGCCAGGAGGAGGGCAGGCGGGTTGGCAATCAGGAACCGCGCCGTACGCCACGGAGGTTTCCAGCTGTGCTGTGCGTCTCGCTGCTGATCAGGAGCCGCGCCGAGGCCGGCCGGGAAGCCTCCACAGCTTCCCAGCCCCAGCACTGCTACTGCCATGGCGCAGATCCCCTGGGCAAGGAGGAGAGGGAGCGGCCTTAGTAGGGAGAGCTGTCTGCGCTCGGGTGCCAGCACCCGCCTGAAATAGCCTTTCCCGTAGGAACGGCCCTTCCTCCCGCCCGAGTGGGGAATACGGGGATTCAGAGCCCACCTCTCGCTTGGCCTTTGCCTAGAGCGGGACCGCTGTCACCAAGATAAAAATGCTTCTGGTTCCTTCCACTGGCCTTCTCCTCCGGACAGGCTAACGGCAAAGCAGGTCACACACTGAGCCACCCACAGGAGATCTGGGGCCAAGAGGGCACCAGGAGGCTTTAACTGCCCTGACCAGCCTCGCCTGGCACCCACACCCCCTGCCCACGGCCCCCGCTCAAGCTCAGCACTGGCCCTTCTCTCCCTGCCTGAGTCGTGTCTGAGCTCTGTCTCCCGGCTGGAGGCACCTACGGACCTTGGATCTATGTTGCAGGTCACTTCGATCCCGTCTCTTGCTGTATCTTCTAGATGGATCCTGGACCCATGTCACGGCTTTGTTGCCAGCCCAACTCCTGAAGGGACCCCCCGGACGGACCCAGACCTGGTTCATAGCTTGCTGGAGCTGCGGATGAACCCCAGTACCAGCCCTCGGCTCTGCCCAGTGTGCGCAGACCCCACGGGACTGCGTCCTGGTGACGATGACACCGCTCCCGGCCTTTGCTGCTGCCAGACGCCGGCTGTGTAAGTCACATCAGGCTGCTCAGGTGGGAAGGGAGGACACCAAAACAAGATGCTCTCCAAGCCTTAAAGGGATGCAGCAGGCTCAGCGGCCCCTTACCACCCAAAGGTACCTCCGGTTTGCTTTTGCCCTTCACTCCCCTCCCCTGGCTCACAAATTTGTGCAAATCTGAGAGCAAGCCTAAAACTGATTTTGATGCAGAATCGTCAGGAAAACCCCGGTGCTTTTTAACAGCGAATATTCTGAAGCGTTTCTTGTAATGATCTCCAGTAAAGCATGGGGGAGGCATTAAACCTCACAGCAAGCCTTAGAAATGGTGCTCTCCTATACACTAACAGCCCAGTTCCCACTGCAGGGATCTACATGAGGTTATATGTTGCATTAATAATGAGGGTAATTCAACTGCTTGAGAATATTTCACCTGTTAACAAATTTCCTATTATTTTACTGCTCAATTAATTCCTGCAATGGTCGATTTCTATGCCAACAAAATCATAAGAGCACCGAGCAAAAGGGGTTTTTTAAGCATCAGTTGCTTTAGAGAAATTAAATTGAGGTAGGAGGTTGGACAGACAGAATCACGCATCTGATGCTCAGGAGTATTTACTTTAAATTGCCTAAAGGAAAGCCAGGAAAGCTAAAATTACTGGAATAAGCCCACAGCAGCCCGTATTTGCTGCTAACCTGGTTTCACCTTGCTTCACACAGAGGAAAAGGCTGTACTTTGCTCGAATGCACCTTCTGGGGGCAGGGAGGCTGCCAGGATAGGCCCAGGGAGGGAGGATGAGGCCCTGCTGCTCCTCCAGGCAAGGCTTCCTCCCCCGGCTCTCGGAAGAAATGCTGCACATTAACGGTGACAGCTGTAGCCAAGTGGAACCAGGGATTTCAAAGGCTTTTGTGCCCACCCTGGCGTGACATGGCCTTTACGGGCTGGGCGTGAGGTGGTGTCAAGAATGATCATTACTAAGGGGAACAAAAGGGAAGTGTTTCCATGGAGGGATGGAGCTGTGCCCTCAGTCACGTCACAGCTTTTCTCATTCATCCTCTGGATAGCAGGTCTCCTCCCGAAGAGGCAGGAGACGTTGGTGTGACTCCGATCTCCACTGAACCCCACTGGATTCGGACAGCAAAGTCTGGAGAAGGATGTCGCTGTGTTTCCCTACCTCAAGAGCTCGGCATTAAGCTGTTGGATGGCAAAAGCAGGCTGAGGCTGCTGTGGCCACGCAGTGTCAGCTGTCCCTTGCTCTGTGCCCTGGGCTTTTCTACCCTGGTGTAGGTTCAAGAGGTTTCACGAACAGGTAAAGCAGCAGAAAGTGAGGCTGTGCAGAACTCCCTCTTTCTCTGGATATGGTAGGGTTTTTTTTTTAATCCTTACAAATATGATGGAGGAGGGTAGCTTGCTCCTTCCAGCTGTGGAGGCTACCAAAGAAAACCAAGGCCTGACACTTGCTCTTCAGCGGCAAAGCAACAGCAAATCCATTTGGACCTGACGTGCAAAACACCAAAGTGTTGAGCACAGAGGACCAGCACGTGGATTTGGGATGGTGAAGACGTCCAGACTGACTGATAACAAACAAGACTGCAAAATATTCCTGTGCTTGTCTAAGAAACTAGCTGAGAGCAAGAGGTCTGACAAGTATCTGCAGATATCTGAAGGGTGTAAAAACAAATTAATAAATCAAAGCCATGATGTGGAGACAAATTAATTAGGATGTCGGAAAAGGAGGGAATAAGGACTAAAACGAAAACAAGGAAAACAAACGTTCCTGTCAGACAGCAGAAAGTGTCCTGGCACTGAGATGCCCCCTGGGACCAGGCCAAAACCCAGCAGAAGGCTTGAAGCTGATGTCCATGAGCTCTGGAGCGGGCTGCCGAGAGGGGAACAGCGTGGGACCGGCATTTGCCATCGCTGGGAGGTCTTTCAGAAGAAACACGTCCAACACGGACAAGATGTAGGTGAAGGTACTGTAAGGTGTGTGGGGATGCCCTCTGCATCCTGAGATAACTCCAGGTATGTCAAAAAGCAAGGCAGAGGAGCGCCCTCCAGACTCGCCACCAGCACTCCCTTAGCCTCAAGTGGAGAAACCCCTGATGCTAAAAACTGATCAACGCTGAAATCCAGGGGGGAGGACGCAGGTGACAGGAAGGCAGGTACAGCAGACAGGGCCCGGCTCCCCGCGCTGAGCACGTGCTGTGTGGAAGCCCAGCTGTCGGACCCCGCTTGCGGTACGGCTCCCACAAAGCATCAAGGTATTCCTGTTGAACTGAGCCTTCCTGCCCAAGCAGGACTGACTTCACGTACCGTAGCACCAGACGAGCCTCCTGTCAGCCCAGATCCATCCCGCTAACTTTAGACCCTTCGCTGAGGCCCTGAAAATAGGAGTCCACCCACTCCAGGTCTGCTGTCTTCAATGGAGAAGGGGAAGGTGGGTGGAAGGGTTTGAGTCCTCTGCATGAGTCATCCCTGGAAATAGCTCATCGTCCTCCATTAGCCAAAGAGGAGATGGCAGGTGATTCGGTGCCTTAATTAGATCTCTGGGAATACCTAACAAGATGGAGGA